AAACTGAAGATGAGGAGAGGCGCCTGGGTGGCTCAGTTGGTTAAGCATCTGACTTTGGCTCAGGTCATGATCTCACGATTCATGGGTTCAAGCCCCACGTCAGGCTGTGTGCCGATAGCTCAGAGCCTGGAGCCTGCTTCGGATTCCATGTCTACTCCTCTCTCTCTGACCCTCCCCTGCTCACACTCTCTCTCTCTTAAAAAATAAATTAAATAAATAAACAAACAAACTGAAGATGAGGATGATTCTGGAACCCTGCAGTGACAGAAATGAGCATGCTTCAGAACAACAGGGACCTATCCTAGAAAGGCTCTCACCACCTGTTCAGGAATCAGCAACCAAAGCCTGTTTCCACGGTAATAAAACGCATCTAATGATGCCTTCACTCCCCAAATTGGGTGAGGATCAAAGGGAGAACACGTAAAACACTTAGCATGTCCCCTACCTTCCTTTCCAGTTCAGTTTTCTCTCTGGTGACACTGAGGCCAGTCACAGAACAACATATGTATGAAGACAAAATATGTTGCTTTGGGTGTGGCATGGATTCTTACAGAGCAGATATGGACAAAATCCTAGAAGACATCAGGACCTACCATTTCCAGTAGTAGCTGGATTTTCCTGCTTTAGTGCTTTCCTTCACTCTAGTTGAGGGCACTTAACCCCCCAAAAAGATTTCCCTCAGCTGGTACTTTCCGTCAGACTGAGTTGTACCTGGTTGTACTGATGGTTAAATATTTAAATATCACCCCTGCTTATAAGCATAAAGTCTAAACTAGAGGCAGGTACTATCCCCATTATAATAGATGAAGAAACTGTGTCTCCAACAGAGTTACTAATGTGGCGTGTAAATCCCTAACAGCCTACCTGTCCCTTTCTGCCCACATTGCTTCTACTCTAACCACACAACTTTTAACTGCCCCTTACTTATAAGCTCTTTCATGCCTCCCTGTCTTGGCCTATGCCTCTGCCTTCACCCCTTCCTTTTAACCTGCTAGACCCCCACCCAGCCTTCAAAATTGCCCCACTGTGAAACTTTCCCTAGCTCACCCACTGAGGACTTCATGGTGAAGAAACAATGACATGGGAATACCACAGTTAACTTACATGAATTCAACCATATATTGTGTAGTATTCCAATGCATCAAACAACAGACATGACCAAGCTTGAAAGTGTGTGGGGGGAAATATGTGAATGATTTTAAGGGTTTCCCAATCACTGACAAAGAAGTGAAACAGGTGACTAGGCAAGAAGATGCTAACGACTTGGTCTAAACCTTAAGACAATTGAGAACCACAGAGCAACAATGCCTTATTGAAGAGACAGAAAAACTGACGTAGGGTTGCATGTACAAGTGTTTATGGATAATTTAAGAGCTATTCAAGGAGAATTTAGGAAATAAACGAACTCCATTTTAGTGCTGAGGTTAACAATTCCACATAAAATGTAATACCCTAAACCACACAGTGTGTTAGGAGAATGGACACCTCATTCCGATTCTGAGGGAGAGGTGGGATCAAAGTTGTCCCCCCCCACCCCCCATCCTGGCAGCTTTTCCTGACCCATGTTATTTTTAGATGGTTCCTCCTTCATTGTCCAAGGATGGCAACATGAACTTCCTTTGTTACTGTGTTTCTCTGATAGAAGGGAGTGGGCAGCCTCAAGCTGGAGGTAGGGTTGTCAGTTTCTCCTGAAACAGTATGATAAATGTCACTGGACTGTGGGAACCTAGAAAGGTGGGTGCTGCACCAGTCTGGGGGGCAGGGGTGAATAGTATATCAGAGACAACTTCCTGGAGGAATAAGGAATTAGCCAGTTTGGAGGAACATGGAAGGGAAGGGGAGTTCTAGCTAGAAGCATGTTGCACAAAGGCTCAGAGATGAGAACGGGGAGCTACAAGTAGGTCAGCATGGGGAATGTGAGGGGGAAATGCCAAGAGACAAGGGGAACATTTTAGAGAAGTCGGTAGAGGGCAGATTATGAAAGGCTTTGACACCTATGCTTGGACATTCTCGTGACGGCAACAGATAGTCGCTGAAGGTTTCTAGAAGGGGAGTGAGAGGGTAGGGCTTGCATGTCCAACACTGAGAAATCTTCCTCCAGATCTGAGATGAAAAGAGGAGCTAAAACAAGGCCCAGGAGAGCCCTCCTACGTTAGCCAGCACCGAACTGATAAAAACAGGGTGGCACCCACGGCTGGGTGCCCACCCTCTTTTCTTGCTCCCTCCCTGCAGGTACTCATGCCCTCTAGGCTCCCCACTAGCTGCCCAGGACCCCCAAGGCCATATCTCAGCTAGGACTCTACTTCCTGAACCTACCACAAGCTTCTAACCGCTCAGCCTACTCCCTGTAACTCACTCACCCAGCAAGGATATAATAAGCACTTACCAGGGGCGCCTGGGTAGCGCAGTCGGTTAAGCGTCTGACTTCAGCCAGGTCACAATCTCGCGGTCCGTGAGTTCGAGCCCCACGTCAGGCTCTGGGCTGATGGCTCAGAGCCTGGAGCCTGCTTCCGATTCTGTGTCTCCCTCTCTCTCTGCCCCTCCCCCGTTCATGCTCTGTCTCTCTCTGTCCCAAAAATAAATAAATAAACGTTGAAAAAAAAAAATAAGCACTTACCACGTGTAAGGCATTGTGCTGGGTTCCGTGGAGATAAAGATGCACTAAAGGGTCTCTACCCTATAAGAAAAAAAAAACAACAGCACATTTTCTAGTCAAGTACCTCAAGGCTCTGTTTTCTGCTAAAGAATGCTAACACACTCTATCTTAGAGTCTTACCAATATTCAGGTTTTGTCTCTACTGCTTCATTTCCTTGGGCCTCAGTGTTCTTACACAGAAGATAAAGGGGTTGGCCTAGCTATTTTCCAGCTGAGGGGTCCCTGAACCCCTGAGTCCTCAGATGCAGCACCCAATAGCTATTCTCAGTGTTAAAGCTTAACAGAAACCACACATCCATAAGTAGTATGGCTTCACATCATCACTCCATAACTAAAGTATTATGTTGATTTGTTTTTGCATTAGCTTCTGGCAGTATAGTAACACTGGTTATTTCCTGCTGATCAGAAATTCTAATAGCAGCTGCATATATCTGATTAGTAAGAAGGGAGAGTGAATTTTTAAAAATCATGTTTTTTAGACAAACATTTCAAAACAGGGGGGACAAGGTGATGAAAAGGTTAGGAATTATTAGGCTAGCAGTTAGCTAAGATTCACCTCCAGCTTTAAAAATGCTATGATTCTAAGCTGATGAAGTATGCTATTATGTTAATGTGTTATATTTATCAGGTAACAGCATTTTAAAGGAAGATGGCTGTGATATAACAATAAGACTAATGGTGAAAATTCCTAAGGAAATTTGAAGAGGACAGAATTTTTTTTTTAAATTAAGCTTATTTATTTCAAGAGAGACAGAGAGAGCAAGTGAGGGGCAGAGAGAGAGGGAGAGAAAGAAGGCCAAGCAGGCTCCACACTATCAACACAGAGCCCGAAGTGGGGCTCAAACTCATGAACCATGAGATCATGACCTGAGCCGAAACCAAGAGTCAGAGGTTTAACTGGCTAAGCTACCCAGGCACCCCTGAAGAAGAGAGAATTTTAAGGTCATCCTTCCAATTATACTGATTGGATTGGCCCAATGGACCTCCTCCCCGAGGCCTGAGCCCCAGTGCAGGCTTAGGAATGCCCATCACCATCCTGAAACTTAGTAAACAAAACAACACACTTTGGCAGTGACTTCACTGACATAGAAGCAGTCAGCCCCTATCAGACCTTGCCCTCAGAAGGTTTCAGGGAATCTAACACTTGGATGACTGTTTTCTTACATGTTTTCTTCAGAGACTACAGGTTCCTACATGTCCTTTACACTGGTTTTGAATCTAGCATCCTAGGCAAACTGAACCTAGAGAGGCAAACCCAGACAACCCTCTTATTCAAGCCTCCCTCCAGATCTCTACTTGTCAGCGTCACCACTGTCTTTAGCCCTACACTGTATCTAAGTTGGCTTGGCAGACACTTACTGGGAAGCAGGGAGAGCAATGCCATATCCTCATCACAGAAGCCCATGCACATGCCATAAGACCAAGGAGGTCTTAGCATAGTCAGCTGGTGGGGCATTGGGGCAGTGGGGCTCTAAAGTCTCTGTAGAGGATGGGGTGAACAGACCGTCTACTCCCAAATCCTCCAAATAAGCTCTTGTTACCAGGAGGGCTTTTTGATAACTTTGGCTCCAATCAGCAACCACAATATTTCACTGTAAAGGCCTTTACATTATTAAAATGAAAATATGGTGAAATCTTTGTTCAAGGACCCAATATGTGACTTCAACACCTTGTACTGCCTTCGTATCTGCTAAATACTTTCCTCTTCGTTAGAGTCTCTTCATGTCTCTCAACTATTTCAACTGCACTTTTCCAATCCTGTGATCCTAAAGGTTGGTAACAGGACAATATGGTTTACTCAATAATCCGGTTAGGAAAGGTATCCTAGCAGGAAAACAGGAATCTCCTGTTACCAACCTTCAGGACTTTAACATGAGACTAAAATATGTAACCATAGTCTTGTCACAAGATGGAGAAGAGAACAGAAATTCAGGGAGACGGTCCAGTCTTAGGAACCATCCTTGCAAGACAAAAACTGGCATCTATTGGAAGCTTCAGCTTCCGGAAGCCAGAGACCATATTGGCAGGCCTCTGCCTACACTGAGATATGCCCTTTAACATGAGGAAACTGAGGCACTCACTTTTATGGGACAACCAGAGACCCTACAATCAGCGCTGGGACAGACAGGGACAAAGCCCATGAACCAGACCGGAGCTGCGCACGACCTGAAAAGCCCACGCCCAAACACTCCACCTTCCTATCCGCGGCCCAGTCTCCGACACAGCTTCTTCCGGCCGAGAGGGGGCGCCTGCGCCCTCCGGCCGCGCCTGCGCGGGGAGGGCGGGTCAGCGCGCCGGCGCAGTGCGGCGGTCAGTGGCTGCGGTGATACGTTCTTCACGTCCCATAGTGTGGCCCGAGAGCTTGAAAGATGGTGCTGGATCTGGATTTGTTTCGGGTAGATAAAGGAGGGGACCCAGCCCTCATCCGAGAGACGCAGGAGAAGCGCTTCAAGGACCCGGGACTAGTAGATCAGCTGGTGAAGGCAGACGGCGAGTGGCGACGATGTAAGTACCAGGACGCTCAGGGTGTCCCACGGTTCTAATACCAACTTCATCTCTCTGATCTCGTTACCGCTCCTGAGACCACAGCTTCTGCCCCTCGTCAGTCCCCTCCCTGGTTGCGGTGACTCCGAGGCTCTCACTATCCCCTAAAACGCACGGGGCGAGCCGGGACCGTCCCACCATTTCCCTCCACCCGGGTGGTGGGAGCTGCCTTCCATGCGTGCTCTGTGCGGCTCTCTGGTCGTCTGGGGAGGAGCATGGCGCGTGCGCATCAAGAGCTGTCAAGCCTTCCTGCGGCAAGGGTAGCCAGAAGAAAGCTAGAGCGGGAGGTTTGGGGTGGGAGGGTCCCCTTTCCTAACACCTGTCTTTGGTCGCTTTAGGTCCCTTTCTCATCTTCCGTAAGCCCCGAGTGGTGTCCCTCTAATTTGATAGGATCTAAGGCTCCAGCCTGAGACTGAGTCACGGTTGCAGCGTAATAGTTTCAGTCCACCCATATTGGAAGTATTTTGAGACTTAGGCAGCCGCTCCTGGCTAAAAACAAAGATTTCCGAGCTTTGGGGAAGGTCATCCCTCTGACCTGCAGGCATACCTGTAAGAATCGAGGAAAGACTTTTCCGTAGTTGACCGGACATGGGGAGAGAAGCGAGGTGAGGCAAGAACAAGCTTGTAACTATTAAGGTTGTTTAATTGTGATATGTGCAAGTTTTCCGGAAAAGACGTTAGCAGAGTTGGTCTAGAACCTGGAACTGATCCGGGCATCTTTCGTGAAGCTAAATAAAACCAGAGAACCCTCTGCCTATCAACCTCTGCCTGGATTAACTGGAGTAGTCACTGATTGGCCGGAAGCTGTCAAGCACATGTGACTCTTTTTTTTTTTTTTTTGTCTGATGCAATAGGTCTGCAACCAGCTGAGGGCCAGGTTTTATGACAGCACGCTGCAAAGACACTTGCTATGCAAAAATGTGGTGGATTTCTATTAGGAAAATTGATTTTCCTAAATTTATCAGGGTATAGGGTAGGAAAAGAGTATTTGATTAATTCCTGTTGTCTGCTAATTCTGTAGTCTCATTCATTCTAATGTGGTATTTGACTGTGAGATCCCACCACTGATTCACATGTAAATCTGAATTTTTAAGTTGCAATGGAATTAAATGGAAGAAAAAAACTAGACTGGACACTTTTACTGAATCAGAAGTCAGACGTATCAGATTTTGTGTCAGCCGTTAAAGACTTTGAATGTGTTGGTCTCTTGTCTATAACATGCACATCCACGTGAAATTCTGTCCCTTACATGATGAGTGGATATATGGTAAAGGGATGAGTTCTTTGGGGACAAGGTTGTTTTATTCACCTGTATGTCCTAGTAGCTAGGGTATACATATACATACAGGATATACATATACACATGTATACATTTAATCCCAGTACCTAGCACTGTACCTGGTTCTTAGCAAGGGTTTGACAAAGGTTTATTGAATTCACAAATAGTTTCTTTGTTCAGGCCACTATGCCCTTCTGTATGAAAAACAGTTTATGTCGTTTATTTTCAGCATACCTGTTGATTTGATTCTTTTCTACACGACATCCCTTCCTAATACTTTCTTTGCAGCCAAAAGTTCATGATGTTTCCCAAGTCACTGGCTGCCCAAGTTGGACATCAACAGATCTTACATCGAGGTTCTTTTACGTCTGAACCTCAGATCAGAGGTTGGGGTTTTTTTGTTATTGGCTGCAACAAGGACTTGTAACCCAGAGCCACATTAAAAACTCAGATCATGTTCCCTGAATGAGGACACAGCAGGCTTCACAAGTATACCTATTTGTCTGCCTGTAGACTTGCAAGACTTGCCACGAGGGCTTTGTGTGGAACATAGATGTCTGATACAACTTGGAGTCATAGTGTCACATCAGAGTTGACCACAACTCTTCTAACTCCAAGGATTCAAACTACGATTTCTTCTTTTTAATAAAGAGTAATATGGCAAGGACACATTTGGACATCTGATGAGCATTTGTCTCGACTATTTCCAAAGCAACTATATTTCAGTGTATCTTGAAATCTGCTACTAATTACAGGAATTCTATCTAGCCTGTGCACTTCTGCACGAGATTTCTCATTACCAACTGTTGAAGTTATTTCCACTTAACCCTACAGCACATGCCTTAAGCCAGGTCCTTCTCATTGGGAGAACTTTCTAACTGCTTTCAGCTTCACCCCAGAGTCACCTAGTGCAGGGCCACATCCAGAACATGTAATCTTTTTGTAGTTTAAATCTAATCATTTTACATCCAGATTTAAGTCTTGCAGTGACATTCTTACCTTAAAGCAGCGCTGTCTGATGGAAATATAATGTGAGCCACATGTGTGATTGTAAATTTTCTGGTAGTCACTTAAAAAGGGAAAGAAAAACAAGAAATTAAAATTTTTTAAAATTTTATTTTGGAGAGAGAGTGTGCGCAAACAGGGAAGAGGAGCAGTGGGGAAAGAGAATCTTAAGCAGACTCCACACTCAGCACGGAGCCGGGCACAGGGCTCCATCCCATGACCCTGGGATCGTGACCTGAGCCAAAATCAAGAATTGGTCACTCAACCGAGCCATCCAGGCACCCTAGGAAATTAATTTTAGCAAGATATTAAATTATCCAATATATATAAAATTAATGTTCAACATGTGATCAGTTATAAAAACTGAGATATTTTACATCCTTTTTCTTTTTCACAAGTCTTCAGAATCCGATGTATATTTTACATGTACAGTATATCTCAATTTGGGCTTGCCATGTTTCGTATCCTCAGTAGCCTCAGGTAGCTAGCGGCTACCATATCAGACAGTGTTGCCCTAAAGCATAAAAATGCAAATTACTTAACATAATTTACAAAGCTCCACATGTCTTCCTAGCCTCATCTTCTGTCACTCTCCAACATATGCCCTCCACTCTTTCTTCTAGCCTTGTTATGCTACCTGTATGCTCTTTCACACACCTGTGATTGTTGCCTCTTCTTGGAATACTCCTTACCAGGCTGCTGCCCCCACTTCCATCAGCCCTCTTTGCTAAACCAACTCTGTTCCCATAGCACTACCTCATTTGTTGAGTGTTCTCTGTATCTCATGTATCTTGTTGTGGCGTTTATACTATTTTGATATGCAACCTTTCTAAGCTTATTTTTATTGAGATGTAATATATTCAGTAAAATATGCAAATTTTAATGTGCAGCTTAATAGGTTTTATAAATCTGTATACCTGTGTAACCACCATCCAGATCAAGATCAAAGACATTCGCAGCATCCCAGCAGTCTCTCTCGTGCCCCTTCCAAAAATACCAGTATTCTGCCCTCTGTCACCATAAATTAATTTTGCCTGATTTTGGACTTAATATAAATGGGTTTACATAGCATATACACTTTTGTATGTGCCTTCTTTCTCTCAAAATTATGCCTATAAGATTGTTCCATCTTTTCATGTGGAGCAGTGGTTGGTTCTTTTTCATTGTTGTACAGTACTCCCTTATGTAAATATGCCAATCATCATATAAATACTCCAATCAGTTCTACTGATGGCCATTTGGATTACTACCGATTTAAGGGTATTATGAATAAGGTGCTATGAACATTGTTTTGTGTGTCTCTTGGTAGACATAAGCACTCATTTCTGTTAGGTATATGCCCCGGAGTAGAGTTGCTGAATCATGAGGTAGGGACATGTTTAGAGATAGTAGATATTACCAAATAGTTATCCAAAGTAGTCATATCAGTGAACACTCCCACTAGCAAAAGAAGAGTTCTAGTTGTTCTACATTCTTGCCCTTAGTATTGGCAGTCTTTTTAATTTTAGCCATTCTGGTGGATTTGTAGTGGTATCTCATTGTGGTTTTAATATGAATTTTCCTGATGACTGAAGATATTGAGCACCTGTTCATAAACCTCTTAGTACTTGGATAGCCTATCTTAAGAAGTGTCTGTTCAAGGATGTTGACCAATTATTATTTGTTTGTCTTTTTCTTATTGATTTGTAGGAATTCTTTATCCATTCTGGATATAAGACCTTGTCAGATGTATGTATTGCACATATTTTCTCCCAGTTTGTGACTTGCCTCTCACTCTTTCAGTCATTTAATGAATAGAAATTAATTTTTATGAAGTCTAGTTTATTGATCTCTTCTTTATAGTTTATGCTTCCTGTGTTCTTTTTAGGAAGTCTTTTCATATCCCAAGTTCCTGAAGAGTTTCTCCAATATTTTTTCTAGAAGTTGTATTACCTTGCCTTTCACATTTAGATGGATGATTCATCTCACATTGGTTTTGGTGTATGATGTGAGATAGAGATCAAGTTCATTTTTCCCATGCAGCAAGCTAGGAATAGAAGGAACTACTTTAATCTGATAATAGGTATTTATCAAAAAGCCTATAGCTAATGTTCTTAATGATGAAGTACTGAATGCTTCTCCCCTGAGGTTGGGAACAAGACAAAGATATCTGCTATCACCACTTCTAATCCACATCATGCTAGAGGTTCTAGACAAGGCAAGGTTCTAGACAAGGCAAGAAAAAGAAATAAAGGATTGGAATAGAAGGTGATGACAGATGGTAACTAGATTTACTGTGGTAATCATTTTGCAGTGTATACAAGTATCAAATCATTATGTTGTACATGTAACTAATGTAAGATATGTCAATTATACCTCAGTAAAAAAGAGAATTAAAGTGGTCATTTTTTGCAGATAACTTGATTGTGTATGCAGCATCTAAACTATTAGAATTAAATTTAGCAAGATCACTGTATGTAATGTACAGAATCAATGATATTTCTTTTTTTTTTTTAATTTTTAAAAACATTTTTTATGTTGGGGTGCCTGGCTCAGTCAGCTGAGCGTTGGACTTCGGCTTAGGTCATGATCTCACCACTTGCGAGTTCAAGCCCCACGTTGGGCCAGATCTGTGCTGACAGCTCAGATGCTGGAGCCTGCTTCAGATTCTGTGTCTCCCTCTCTCTGCCCCTCCCCTGCTCACGCTCTGTCTCTCTCTCTCTCAAAAATAGACACAGGATCCAAAGAGGCTGCAGGCTCTGAGCTGTCAGCACAGAGCCCAATGCAGGGCTTGAACTCATGGACCATGAGATCATGACCTGAGCCGAAGTCGGATGTTTAACCGATTGAGCCACCCAGGCGCCCCAATGATATTTCTAGATACAAATAATAATTAAAAAGCACTGATATCTAGAATACTTTTTTTAATTTTTTTTTTCAACGTTTATTTATTTTGGGGACAGAGAGAGACAGAGCATGAACGGGGGAGGGGCAGAGAGAGAGGGAGACACAGAATCAGAAACAGGCTCCAGGCTCTGAGCCATCAGCCCAGAGCCCGACGCGGGGCTCGAACTCACGGAGCGCGAGATCGTGACCTGGCTGAAGTCGGACGCTTAACCGACTGCGCCACCCAGGCGCCCCTCTAGAATACTTTTAATAAATGATGTTCAAGATCCCTGCACTGAAAACTACAAAACATTCCTGAGAAATTAAAGATAATGAAGGGATATGCTATATTCATTGATTGAAACATTCAGCATTGTTATATTATTTTTAATTGTCTTTTCTTTCTTTTCAACACCTAGCATGATATTTTCTTTTATATTGCCAGCACTTAACATAGGGCCTTGCAAATAGGGACTAAATAAAAATTTTAAAACCTTTTTATGTCAAAACAGTTACAGATTCACAGGGAGTTGCAAAAATAGTATAAGAAGGTCCTGTGTACCCTTCACCCAGTTTTCCTCAATGACGACATCTAGCATAGCTGGTACAATATTAAAGCCAAGAAATTGACATTGCCACAATTCACAGACCTTATTCAGATTTCACCAGTTTTACATGCACTTTGTGTGTGTGTGTGTGTGTGTGTGTGTGTGTGTGTGTGTGTGTGTGTATGTGTGTGTGTGGGGTTCTATGTGACTTTATCCCATGTGTAAGTTTGTATAACAACTGCCACACTCAGGACAGAACGGTTCCATCACCACAGAGACCCTCTCACTGCCCCTTTGTAGTCCATTCTGTTTTCCCCTCTCCCCTCCAGCCCTGGTGACCACTCTTCTGTTCCTATCTCTCTAATCAATATAAGTGAATGAGAAAGTAGTTACATCATTTTGTGCTGAAGTTTATTAGTTCAAGTTCAGCAAAACCTTAGAAAATAGCTGCCTAGGTGCTGTCTCATTTCTAGTCATCATTTCACCTATCAAAAACTTGATTTTTGCTGTATTGCTACTCAGGCTTAGATTCAAGTGGTCCAACTTTTGCTAATTAGACTAATGAACCACAATACTGACATGCTAATTTGGGCCACAGTACCCCTATAGGCTGATTAGAGCACTGTCTTCCCCAAAAGAAACTAAAGTATAAGAAACTTACTCTCAGGGCACTTGGGTGGCTCAGTCTGTTGAGCATCCGACTTTGGCTCAGGTCGTGATCTCATGGTTCGTGAGTTTGAGCCCTGCATTGGGCTCTGCGCTGACAGCTCAGAGCCTGGAGCCTGCTTTGGATTCCGTCTCCCTCTCTCTCTGCCCCTCCCATGCTCACACTCTGTCTCTCTCTGTCTCAAAAATAAATAAACATTAAAAAAAAAAAATTTAAGAAACTTACTCTCAAGGCCGCAGGTGAGATTTATGTCAGAGCAAAGGGAATAACATTAACCATTTCTGGCACAAGTTCATGGGACTAGAAACAAGACTGCCCTCTTTCTAGAGTCTAGCGCATATCACATAGTTTCTTTAAGTGGATTTTAAGATAATTGAGCAAGTTATAGTTACTTGAGTTTTTTCCAGGTTTCTCAGATGTGTTATTCTACTGTGACATTATCCAGCTTGTGATACTTTATAATTTCAGTCCCAGAAGGGACTTTTCCTAGTCATCAAATGCTGAGGTAATCCTATTGTCACCACTACATGCCAACTAAATTGGGGGCTCTAAAGCTGTAAGATTTCACAGCTTCATGAGATCCTTTAGCTCTGCCTAAAGGTCCATGATTAAGAGAGGGGGATGTTTTAATTATGTGCATGTCTTTGGTATATTCTTGGATTCTTTCTTCTTCAGGCCGATTTCGGGCAGACAACTTGAACAAGCTGAAGAACCTATGCAGCAAGACAATTGGGGAGAAAATGAAGGTGAGAGAATGGTAACAGCCTTGAGAACTTGAGCAGAGGGGTTTCATCTTGCTCTTGGTTAACCCTCATGTAGTGTCTAACTTAGTACCTAATTCTAGGAGGTACTTAATTCTTAGTACCTAATTCTAGGAGATACTGAATTTCTTACCAGGGGAAAATATTTTAAAAATAAAAGAAGGAAGTGGGGAAGGGAACTAAGAGGCACCTTCAGGGAAAGGTGAGTCCATCTTCTGTCTTCAGATATGTCTTAGTCCTTTCAGGCTGCTATAACAGAGTACCATAGATTGGGCGCCTTATAAACAAGGGAAGTTTATTTCTCACAGTTCTGGAGACTAGTAAGTCCAAGATCAAGGAGCTGGCAGATTCCATGTTGGTGAGGACCCGCTTCCTGGTTCATAGGCAGGCCTCTTGTTGTATCCTCACATGATAGAAAAGAGCTCTCTGGGGTCTCTTATAAGGAGAGCACTAATCTCTTTGATGAGGGCTTTGCCTTCATGGTCTAATTTACTCTGAAAGACCCCACTTCCAAATACCATCACACAGGATTAGGTTTCAACATACAGATTTTGGGAGGACACAGACATTCAGTCTGCAGCAAGATAAGATTCTTGCCACATTGCTCATTCGTTGTCTATTTTGTTCTTTTTTTTTTTTTTTTTTTTTTTTTTTTTTTTTTTTTTACTTTTTAATGCATTTTAATTCATTTTTGAGAGACAGAGTGTGAGTGGGGGAGGGGCAGAGAGAGAGAGGGAGACACAACATCTTAGTCAGGCTTCAGGCTCTGAGCTGTCAGCACAGAACCCGATGCAGGGCTCGAACCCACGGACTGCAAAATCATGCATGACCCAAGCCGAAGTCAGACGCCCAACTGACTGAGCCACCCAGGCGCCCCATTGTCTATTTTGTTCTTATAATAAGAATATAAATTCCACCAGTAATCTTGTCCACTTATTTCTTGTTTTTTAAGGTTTTTTTAATGTTTATTTTTTAGAGAGAGAGACAGAGTCAGAGCGTGGGTGGGGGAGGGGCAGAGAATGGGAGACACAGAAACCAAAGCAGGCTCCAGGCTCTGAGCTGTTAGCACAGAGCCCAATATGGGGCTTGAACTCACGAACCGCTAGATCATGACCTGAGCTGAAGTCGGCTGCCTAACCGACTGGGCCACCCAGGCGCCCCTTGTCCAGTTATTTCTTAAGCTCAACCTACAGTGCCAGAAAGGTTTTCTTATGGTGGACTTGAGATTCTTTGTCTCAGTGTCATCGTGCTGTTTAATGAAAAGAGCACAGATAAGGAGTTCAGATCCTGGATTGCTAGCTGTGTGGCTTCAGCCAAGTACACTTCTGAGCTTCGGTTTTCTCATCTGTGAAATGTCAGTGTTAACATTCACCTACAGAACAGAACTGGAAGAACTAAAGTTTTTAAATGTGGAGAACCTGGCACAATGCCTACAACATTGTAGTTCTTCAGCAAGTGCAAGGAACAACAGAGGGCAAGTAGTTACTGGTTTTCATCCCAAAACTCTTTCCTTGCTTGGAGAATGTTAAGTTTCAGCTTGGGCTTGCTTTGGTATCCAGAATAGTTGATGTTTTTAGTCTTTCTTCAGAAATATCCTCGGGGCACCTGGGTGGCTCATTGATTGAATGTCCAACTTCGGCTCAGGTCATGATCTCCCAGTTTGTGCAGTCAAGTCCCACGTCGGGCTCTGTGCTGACAGCTCAGAGCCTAGAGCCTGCTTCGGATTCTATGTCTCCCTCTCTCTCTGCCCCTCTCCTGCTGGTGCTTGTGCACTCTCTCTCTCTCAAAAATAAATAAAT